TTAGTGCGTTAAGTTGTCATTCAAGATATCGGCTTGTCTGCCTGTCCAAAAATTAACTGCGCTTAAATGTGAACGTGTGTACGCTGTCAAAAGAAGCACGTTTTCAAAGAACCGCTATAATTTAAATAAAGCATTAATTTTAGTGTTCGCACTTTTCTTTTTATTTTATTTTTTTATTTTTTTTTTGGACGAAACATTTTTGGCATGATAAAGTGATTTAAATTGTGCCTCAATTGTGTGTCAGTGCTGTCAGAATGACACTACAAAAATGTTAAATAAGTCTTGACTCGTTTTGCGAATTCACTTTATTTTAAACGTAAATTAAAAAATTAAAATATTATCGGTCATCTAAATGAAAATTAAATTTAATTTTTATATTTTAATTAAATTAATTAAAAGTAGAACTAAAAAAGCAGCATTCAATTACGAACAAACTTTTATTGAATGTTTTGCAAGAGTCTAAAGGGTCAGAAACCTTAGGTTGTTAACTTATTATAATTGTTATAAATAAATTTAATATTGCTAAATATTTAACCTAATTACTTTTAATTATATCAAAAAATTGGGTAGTAAATTAAAATTTTCGTACATTCGTCTAATGTGCTTTCACAGTAGAAGTTAACACAATACATTCAATAAAAAATTTACAATAAAAATTATTAGTAGCCACACATAAAATATCTAAAACTGTATTTACACTTCATAATTATTAAACCTTAATCAATGAGGTGTTTACACTCCGGCAAGATTAGTGAACCGTAATATAAAAACTAAAAATGAAAAATGAAAATTAAAACGAATAAATAAATTTTACAAAATATTTAAAACAAAGAATTATAATTAGTAATATTACATTAAGATATGTACGAGTAATACATAATTACATAATATATTACATTATATAATATATAAATATAATATATAATTATTTACTATTTTTCTTTTTTCAAACAGTTTTATATACATACCCGATTGACGGCAAATGCCATAATCGTATAAGGATAAAATTAGATACTATGTAAATGAAGTTAGGTTTTTCTTATTATTTTTCTTATAATTACTTATAATATTTATGTTTTATATATTATAAATTATTAAAAATGTTAATTTTGTAAATGTAAATATAACCTATATTTAATAAAAAGAATACTACTACTACTGTTTTTATACATAGAAATGTATTATACAAATGTATTATTGTAGAAAACGTCAAATGGAATCAATTATATGGAATGAATTGTAAGTAAGATTAGTGGATCCGTGACATATCAGTGGTTAAAAATATTAAGTATAATAAGTTTGGTTCAGCTAAACCAGAAGGAAACGATTGAATACAATGGATTTGGCTGTGTTTGGAAAAGGGGATAGTAGGCAAAGTAGATTTCCCACACGCTTTAGGTTCTGGGTTATAACGACTATAGTTATAGAAGAGGATCGGCTAGGTACTGCTTTGTGCTTCATTACCATGGTGAGTTAGGTAACTTATATCTTATAACTTAAAATAAATCAAACTTCTGCGTGAGCGTCTTCTCTAGTTCCGTATAGCAAGTGCTCTTACTGCTCACTTAACTGGATTATTTCTACGTAGCTATGGTCCATCTCTACATCTACATCCTTCAAACTTCCGCTTAAAACCGCTTTATCGCTGGAGCACTGTCAACCATTTTCAGGATATTACCAAGTCAGCTTGTGATAAAGCTCGTAAAGCTTTTGGTTCATTCGCATGCGTCAGTAGTCACAAATCGTAAATCTTAAAAGGTTTTAAGAAGAAACTTTGCTTTAAAAGTTTTAGTACTGCTTTATCAATTTATGTTAGATATATAAACACAATTAGCATAAGTGACCTATAAATCGTATGTTTTATCGGCCGAGAAAGAACTCTATATCCCAATTGCGTAAGTACCCAACACTTTAAAGCAGATGTAATTATTCATCTGGCATCTGACAAGGATGTCAACCTATCCTTGAAACTTTGAAAGTATATTTGCTAGCTATCAGTGACATACATTTTTGCTAGTAGACGACATATGCTTGGTTTTGTTCTCATTCACCGTTAAACCGATTTTCGTAGTTTTCTTTTCAATAGAAGCAACGTTTTTTATGCCCAGGAATGTGCATGTCGTAAGAGTAAGGAACGTAGGACACAAGTCGCATGTCGTAAGACACATTAGTAAAATATTGTATATCATTTGTTATTAGAAAAGCTTTTTGAATAGTATCAGATTACAACAATTAAATTTTTATATTTAATTAATTTCATTGTAGGCTACCTATTTATCAGTTTCGAGTATCGTCAAATAACCATCATCAGTGGAAAAAGTGGGCAAGACTCGAAACACCTGTAAGGTCAGCGAAAAGATAAATTAATTAATAAAAAAAGGTTTTTTGTGATTTAATACTGTTCAAAAACTTCATTAGTAAAATATGTATGTAGTTTCTATTAAGAAAATAATTTCTTTCATCATAATTGACTTTAAAATTCAAATTGTTCCGCTACATTTATATAAAAAGAGCAAAAGTTTGCAAAACATATACGCGTAGTGCAGAAACCAGTATCTGCAACTGCTATTTTATGTATAACTTATCTTAATGAGTGGTGTCCACCTTCTGAATTCGTATCCTGAAATATGGTATAAGCAATCAAAGCAATCGTATAATCCACCGAGAAACATAAAAATCTACTTTTTGCTTTTAGCAAAGTCTTTAAATTATTCTTATAGGCGACGACCTAATGAAGCATGCAAAATAAAGTCATAAATCCATGCATGAGTTATGGGGAGAATTTTAAAAGTGTAATGAAAACGCACTTAAAATTAGCGAAACGATCAATCTATTGGCATCAGGAACGCATCCGGATAAAAAGTTCAGCATTGCAGTTGTAGGAACGTGGCTTTATCAGCATGTTTTAGCAGACATGAGATCTGAGCACAAATCTACAATTAACAATTTCGTGTTAAATTTTATTTGATTTTTCATTTTGTTTTCGGCTGCTATAATCAATCTTTATCGCGGAAGAAGTAAAACGCGCAGAAAACATTAAAATGCAGAGCCATCAGTTTCTGGTGCTACAAGTACTCCAACTAACCAAATTGATAAATGTTTTGAAGTGCAGACAAGTAAATGCGATTTAGAAATTTATACACAGAAAACAAACACATTCGGATGTGTGATATTATAATTTATTTTATTTTACTTTTTCTGATACTAGCGTAGCACAGCATTTTAATTACTTGTGAAATAATTTCTTCTAATAATTTCGAGAAATTCTTGAGATATTATATCATGAGCACACGCACAACTTAAGAAAGCATAGAGATTTACTTTATAAAGGATCTTAATCTGTTTCAAGACGTGCTCTTGACTTCATTAAAGATTTAAATAGTTTCAGAATATTCGAAATAATTTTAAGTATTTTTAAAAATGACTGTTCTATGACTTTTTTGAGATAAAATACTCATATCAGTACTGTCCAACTAACTTCCAATTCGGATTAAATTAAATAACTTTTCTCTTTATCTCTTCCAAAGTAATATCAGCGATGGACTTTCCAGCTCCCTGTCTACAAACGTGGCGAGCTTAGATATCGAAAAAGGATTGATACTTAGTAATACTCTGGATTCTCTACTTCTCTTGGTAGTATTGCTTTTTAATGATTAAACGTAGGATATCCTTGCATCTTCTCGTAATCTGGAACATCTCTGCTTTTCGGATGATTGCTTAAACTACGCTAAGTCGAGATGTCCGTTTGAAGTTGGTAATGACTCTCCAAGGGGCTATAAATTCTCAGACATAAATCTTCGAATTGAAGGCTCTGATATAAATAGCAGATAGGCCAAATAGGCTAAAATAATTGGTAGTTGTTTTCACTCGTTCACATAATTTCATTTCGCACGTTAGTCACATTAACAAGAACGCCACTCTTGAACTCCATGAGCTTAAAAATGCTATTCTGCTAAATGTGCAAATCACACTACTTTGTTACAAGCAACTAATACGACCACTATTTGCATACTCATTTCCTACTTGGTCCAAAATCTCATACGCTCAACTGGAATACCTTCGAACGTTCTAAAGGAGAGTGCTCCGGGACTGCAGTTACTAGAAGTGCAGACCCATTGGCAGATATTTTTCCAACTCCGCTATCTACAAGTCTTCTACATCCGTTTGATAGTACTCATCTAGCTCAATTTCCTATCGATCTACTTAATAATATGAGGTGTCAAGGTTTGGTATATTGTGAATATTTACAACATAAACATAAAAAATATACATATATTATTCTAATTATTTTATTCTAGTGAGTAAATTCTACGTTAAATCATTTTTTTGATGAGATTTTCAAACAAATAAATGAAATGTCTATTTAATTGAATATTTTTAGCTAATCTCAACTAATTTAATTTAGACAATGTCATTAAAGACAAATTTGGGCAATTGTGTACTTAGGTCAGGTTATCGAATTTTATAGGATCATAGTTCAAAAGCAGTATCTGTTTTAAATTTCATAATATAAAAACTTTAACCATAGTAATTACATTCAATAAGTATCCGATATAATTCGAAGTTGAACTCAATACTATCATTTAATTTTCTAAATAGCCACTTTTCTTAAAATTTGAAGATTTTTCACGATTAATTTTAAGTAATGAGTAAATGTATACTTAATACCGTATGTCTGAAAAATAAAATAGAAACTGAAATTAGAATAATGGAAATGAATGAAAAGTAAATATTATCAGAACTAAAAGTAATAAAAACAATTTTTTCCAACTCAATTCAGAATTTCAAACCCTCGATAAAAATATTTAAGAGCAACCTTATCTTAGCGGAAACCGCAATGAAATATGGGATTAATTGCTAACTAACTTAGTCTTATACTTGTACGTCGCGTAATGATTAAATTATATTCCTTCTTAAACGATCTCGCTGAAATAATATATTTAAGAAAACAAATTTCAGTTTTCAGATGTCATTCGTTGTTACCGAACAAGCCGGAAAGAATGTTTTATAAAAATTTCGAAAGAACAGAAATTACATTATTTATAATTGTTTTCAATTTGCTATTGAGAGAGAGCTGGGCGAATAAAGATCTAGTATGCACAAGAAGATTAATTAATGGGAAAAAAGTACTTCATTGTAGAGAATCATGTAAAGGTGGTTGTCCGAACGGAACATGCAATCATAAAACGCGCCAATGTGTCTGCTGGCCCGGTTTTAAGAAACAAGAAGAACGGTGTGTTTCACTATGTTCTGAAGCATGTCCTGCCAATGCTAATTGCATAGGGGATAATAACTGTCACTGCATTGATGGTTATGAGGAACACATTGACAATAATAAAACTAAAACTTGTATGCCGAAATGCAGTTTCGATTGTGGAATATTTACTGAATGCGTAGCTCCAAATAAGTGTGATTGTATCGATGGATATGTAATGGATATAAAGGATAAAGTATGTAAGCCATTTTGTGCAGAATGCACAAAAAATGCTGAGTGTGTAGCACCCGACGTTTGCCAATGTAAAGATGGATACCACAATGAGACGAACTTATGCCTTCCAACGTGTACTAAGGGGTGTGGCGAGTTTGCTCAATGCATTGATGTGAACAAATGTGAATGTAAAGATGGCTATACATATGAAAATGATCAATGTCGACCAATTTGCAAGAATGATTGCGGCGAAAATGCTTATTGTAGAGAACCCGATATTTGTGACTGCTCACCAGGATATGCCAATCATTCGGGAATTTGTGAACCTGTTTGTATAGATGAATGTGCTGAGAATGCAAAGTGTGTGGCACCGAATCTTTGTGATTGCAATAAGGGCTATCGGAGTGTGACGATAAGTGTGTTCCAGTTTGTTCAAAACAATGCCCAAAATTCAGAATGCAAGCAACCTGAGAACTGTATTTGTAATGTGGATATAGTATGAAACGTCAATGTCGGCCAATTTGTAAGAAAGATTGCGGTGAAAATGCTTACTGTAGAGAACCCGATATTTGTGATGCTCACCAGGATATGCCAATCATTCGGGAATTTGTGAACCTGTTTGTATAGATGAATGTGCTGAGAATGCAAAGTGTGTGGCACCGAATCTTTGTGATTGCAATAAGGGCTATCGGAGTATAGACGATAAGTGTGTTCCAGTTTGTTCAAAAGAATGCCCAACTAATTCAGAATGTAATCAACCTGAGCTCTGTGTTTGTAATGCTGGATATACAATGTCGAATAATATATGTATGCCTGTCTGTAATAAAGGTTGTGGTCTAAATGCTATATGTACTGAAACTGAAATATGTAGTTGCTCTCCCGGTTATGCCAATATATCGAATACTTGTGAACCAATATGTTCGAATAATTGTACGGCAAATGCAAAATGTTTAGCACCGGAAAAATGCGATTGTGATTCTGGCTATATAATGATAAATAATAAATGTAAACCAAAGTGTGATAACGAATGTGCTCCAAATGCTTATTGTTCCGAACCAGGCATTTGTAGTTGTGTTGAAGATTATCAAAAAATTGATGGAGTATGTAAACCGATTTGTATAAAAAACTGTCCACTTTTATCGATCTGTATATCACCAAATAACTGTGAGTGTGTAAAAGGATACAAATTAGAAAATAAAAATTGTCAACCTATTTGCGCTGAAGTTTGTGAAAAAAATCATACAACTTGCGTTGCTCCTGATTCATGTGATTGCATTGAAGGATATGAATTTAACAATACAAGTAACTCATGTCAAAGGATATCAAATATTACTTCTGATCAACCATGTTTGAAAGAGATTAATCTAACATTTTTAAAATTTCATGTTCCATGTACATATGTGATGTGGGGATCTTCATTTGTAGGACTATTTGCAACTGCTATAGTGGCTTATAAGTTATATAGAAAATATTGTTCGAAACAAGAGCGGAAGGAAGTAAATCAAACGAATTTTGTTATAACTTTCCAACCAACACCTATTAAGACCGATGACGATATCAGTGGATCTGAACAAATACTAACTGATTCTCCACCTTTACATAGATCATCGGAACGTAGACGTATACCTTAATATAAATATTATAAAAATATTTAAACTTCTTTTATTTGTTGATAATATGTATAATACAAAATGACGCAATATTTTGCAAAATAAATACAATGTTAAGATATGTCGTGTGTTTAAATTTTAATCAGATATAACTTTTACTTAATTTGGTTTAATTTAAGTAATAAGTTTAATTAGTTTGTTCAACATAAACATATTATTTTATTGGATTCAAATTCCAAAAATAAATATCAGTTGATCTGGTTCAAAGTATTAAATAATATGTAAAAACCAAATTATATTTTGGAGAGATTCTTCTAAACTTTTACGCAGTTTTATTCCTTATCATTACAATCACATATTGTATATGGTTTTAGTAGAGTTTAAAGGCTAACTAGATTCAGACTTTTCATTTGAGCATTGAAATATATTTTTGAACAATAATACTACAAACAACTTTAAGTAAGTAATATTGATTTTTGATTTTATATTAATTTTTAAAATTAATTAATATTATATGGACTTAAGATAAGTTTAGATGATCTCCTAAGAAACTTTAAATTTTAAGGTGGGTGACAATAAATGAGTAAAATTTGGGTCATTATATCGTATTCGCTTTGTTGGTTAGTTATATTCAACTGAAAACATAAATGACGTTTGAGATTTAACAAAGAATCACTATTGTCAACAGATGTTATTTCGGGTTAAGTAAGCAATTAGGAAGTAAAACCCTCTCTCGACAAACAAAAATCATTCTATTCCAGTCTTTTATCATGCCTGTCCTGCTGTAGGGTGCAGAAACATGTACACAACAGTGATGAGAAGGCGTTAGGAGCCTTTTCGGAAGATCTATACTTCCTTATGCGCTGGTAACGAGTATCGAATGGAACGATGAGCTGTATGAGTTATATTGTGACATTAACATAGTTAAGTGCATAAAAATTCAGCGGCTTTGGTCACGTCCTTTGAATGGAAAAAACTGCTCCGGCTAGAAATGTATTTGATTAGGTAGCCGCGGGTGGAATACATGATAGAGGACGTCCGCATCTTCGGTGCAAGAACCAGATGACCAACGATTTGGTGCTACTAACTGGCCACAACAAGTCACTTATCGAGCTAGCTGGCGGAGGCTATTTGTCGGCCAAGAACGACTCACGTCTGTAATGGCCAACTAAGTAAGTTAGTTCAGTTGTTCTCATTTCATCTGTTTGGATCCAAGTCTCTATTACCAGTTATCGTGTATTTCATCTTAGGCTAATTAATTAGAATTTTTTGGCAGATTGTAATACTACGCTATTTTTCCAAAAAAATTTAAGTTTTTTTTATTCTAACTGAGATTTCACTCTTGTAAGTAAAAACATCTTCATCTTGAAATGAGTCTGCGTTAATCTAAATAAAATGCTGACAGATTTAGCAAGATCTCTAATTGTCAGTCAATAATTTTTGAAAAAAGTTGAATAGGAAAGAAGGTTGTAAAATTACATGCATTCGGATTGCTAAGTATTAACAATTTCTTCTTCAACTTATGTTCTATATTATTTTTAAATACATATTTAGGAAAAAACAAGTATGATTTACATTTTAATTCAAGATAAAATAAATATATATAAAAAAATTTATTTTATTGGTGTGTTTCGAAATTTTTGGCAGCGAAAATAAAAATTTTAAATTTATCGCCAACTAATTTTGAAGAGTTTTATTTCAGTTCGAGATAAAACAGTTTGAAAGCATGGATCTGCGACGTTTTTGTAATGGTGGTGGAGATGCTGATGCTGCACATTTACACTTAATAGCACTACCCAACTATTATGACTTACCAGTGATTGGTGGTAGTTACGCTGTTGTAATGTTTCCAAAATATCAAGATCGTGTGCAACGTAGGTTTGAAGAAAAAATTCGTTTCGGCCATATACTCTTGAGAAGGCAAATGAATATACCTGATAGCGCGTTTGAGTTTTCTCCGCAACATAATGTACATGAAGAAAATGCATTCATTCCGCTGGTCTTCAAAGAGGAATATAGTAGAAACAACCGCGCAAAACATATAGTCTTTCAGAGACGTCTTGACATTTTGGTCAAAAAATATTATAATGAAGGTCACGCAGAACTATTACAACTGGTTCGTTTTAGGAAGAAGATAGGATATTGTGTTGTAGCTACTATTATCTTTGGTGTTGCACTTTGGTACGGGCTTAGTTGGGGTATTGCTGGATATCTAACATAAGCGGATTAACGATGGTATAGTATGAAGTATTATGTAGAACTGTTAGAAGTAATTAGACTCAAGATGAAGATGATGTGCTAGCTACTGTAAAATGTTAATAGAGTTTTCAAATTCCAAAACAATTTGACAAGATTATTATTATTTTTGTCATTAAAGATAAGTTTCTCTAGTTGCTACTTTGAAAGATCTTTTGTTAAAATATCTGCAATATTTATTTTAATAAAATGTTTCAATCATGTGTTAAAACACAGTTTACTAGGTTTTTTTTTGTTAGGCTTTGAGTGTATATAGAACAAACTGAACCGCAAAAATATAGCGTAATATAGTATTTATTAAGATGGTCAAAAGATGTTCAGAAGAAGGACTGGCTTAAATGCTTTCAAAAAATGATTTTAGCGAATGTTTGATTCTCCTGCTCAAAGCTGGTAAGCTATCAGAATAACTTGTTTCATACGGACCCATATATTTGTTAAGTATTTTGAACAATATTTTGGAACAAATTATGTTTGAGATGAAAAGCAGGAGTATCCGCATACATCAGAGCGAACTTAAAGTGACCAGTACAGCTTTAGCCAGAAATAGAGGTTTCTGGCTAAAGATAGAGGTATGTATATATAAGGTATCCATACGGGTAGATATTGTATGGAATTATAAGCTTTATTGCACGCAAACTCTCAATAGATGTTGAAATCTGTGAATATATAACTTTGTACTCTAATGGTGCCAGCAAACGTATACCTGCTCTCAGAAAAACAGAAATGTGAAGCTCTGAACCATCGATGGAAGAGTTCAGAAAAAGGTTTTCTGATTGCAGGAAACACAAGAAGATAATCTATACATTAACTCAGTTGCTAACTGGACATAGATGCTTCAATTAATGCGTGTTCGAATATAAGTATGAAAGCAACCCTTTTGGTATGCAGTTCGGTTGAAGAAGACAACACAGACCACATTTTATTTTGCTATCCTTACTTAACGATGATGGTTTCGATGTGCGTCTTAAGGTACCAATAAATATAGCAAAATAATATAAAAAATATGCTATTCGTAAAATATAGAATGTTATCTTATTGAATTTATAGAAAAATGGATTAAAATCATAACTTAAATGTTGAACATTAATGATACGAACTATAGTATAGTAACTACATTTAATATGAATTTCATATATTTGTCGTTCTTAACAGCGACTCAGCTTAAAATTTATGGATTCTTGGAGATTAATTTAAGAGAAGATTATTTCTTAAAAAATTTGACTTCAATTTAAAAAAGAATAACGAAAAATAATGTACAATAAATATTATCAAAACTAAAAATAGTAGCAGCGTTCTTTTAGGTCAATTTATAAATTTAAAAGTCACACTTAAATTTTTAGGGGAATTCCGATATGTTATATATAAGTTATATACCAGATATGCAGACGAAAAATTGCGAGAATAGCATTGAGATATGGCATTGAAATATATGTAAAATTATTTAGTCGGACTCCGAGTATTCATCCGGCGTGAAGTAAATGCGGTGCTACTGATTAAATTGGGTTACTTCATAAACGATTTCGCTGAAAACTAATTTTAGTTTTGAGATATCATTCGTTCTTACAGGTCAAGCCGATAAACATGTTTTATAGAAGCTGTAAAGCAGGAAAGTTAATAATATTTACAATTTTCTTCAGTTTAAAATTGGAATTGGGAGCAGCACAAATCAATGACGGTTGTATTAATGGATATGTAATGTAATACACGAAAAGATATTTACGAAATCTATAATTTATACTTTGAATTAAAATTATGTATTCAGGAGAAAACCGTTTGAACTCTGATGGAGCTTTGATAAATTGGTGAGGATTCTTCCTTTTTTTCATTTTAAAGAATACTAAATAAAACTTATTTAGTTCTTTGAAACATTAAAATGTTTACTTCAATAAAATTCATAGATTTTTAAATTTGTTACCTAATGTAAGAGCTTAACACCACGATACTTATAACACACGGATCAATATAATGCAACTATAAACGACTCCATTGGAAAGATTGACCTAGCCTTTATCCAGGAGCCATATGTATATGAGAACCAGATAAAGGGAATAAATGGTAAGTTACTGTACGACCATGCCAGCCATGGTCGACCTCGTGCTTGTATTGTGGTAAGGGATGATATTAATGCTTTCATTATTCCACAGCACACCAACAAGGACCAGGTAGCAGCTATTATTTCTGTGGACACCCAAGTAAGTAAGACAGAGCTTATTGTTTGCTCATTTTACCTGCCTGGAGACTCCTAAGACCTGGACTTCCTATCACTGTAAAGACTAGTGGACTACAGTGTAAAAAGCAAGAAGCAACTCATCGTTGGAAGTGACGCTAATGCACACCACACGATTTGTGGCAGCACCAAAGTCAATAAAAGAAGTGAATGTCTATTTAAATCTTAATCCTAGAGAGTAAAGCGTTTGGCTACAGTTACTGGGACTCGAATTAGTGGTTTGATTAATTGGAAAAAATTTATTTTGGCGGTTATAAATTTGTAAACTAATGCGGATGTTATATTCAAACCTTTATTTAAACGAAGATTCCAAATATTATAATGTAATATATAAATGTCACGTTTTTCTTCACTTTTTAAAACACTAAATATTACTAAAAATCAGTTCTAAATATATGATGTAATTATTATGTCGAAATTATAAAACAATTAGAAAAGTAAATTCACCTTAAAATATTCACCTCATATTTCCAATATGAATATTTTGTTTATAATATAAATTTATGTATATGCAGTACTTCTAATATAATTTCTCTTT